CGTAAACACCCTTTAAGTATCTTATATTTTGTCTTGACAGATAGTAAAAGAAACTAGTAAAATCTAATAACTCGCAATAACTCGTACCGAAAAATGGGACGCAACGCATTTTTTCGTTTGAGCATCTTATTCGAGTTTTGCATCCAAATTCATAGCGTTTTCGAATAAACGGGGTTTGAACGATCTAGGGTTGATCAATCACTATTTTACTATAAATGCAAGTCTTTCATTGGTGGAGAGGTTGCAATGACGTCATTAACCAATCTTGGGTCGTTCAAATCCTGTATAATCGAAAACGCTATCAGTGTGTACATGATCCGAGTTCTAGTAACTTTCCCTCAGTCCGAGATCTCGGACCGAGTTCTAGTATCGTGGACACAAGGCTTTAAAGGTACAATTTCATGGAGCGTGTTAAATCAAGATTTTTTCCCCCACTCTGCTGGTATTATGACGAGGGTGGAGCTGAACGCACTGCAGATTTTGAACGCCCAAGATCGAATAGACGATCTTTAGATTGGAGACGGCAGATCCCAAAGGCGGTACATTCAACCGTATGTTGATATGTGATGTGGTGTAACAAAATGTAAAAGTATGGAACAAAATAACGCAGCTGGATTTAATTTTTCAAGTGTGTAATCGGGAAAATGTGGTTATAATAACGTCCCTTTTGTATTTAATATAACTATTTAAGTTTCAATTTTTTTTCTTTAACTTGCGACGACTTTTCCGTCGGGCAGAAGTAGTCCCGTCGGTAAGCGTATCAAACCTCGTTGCTTTATTTACTGGATGTTAACAATTTCGACAATTCTTATGATTGGGCGCCAGGCGCGGATTAACGCGCCGCACGAACAAATTACGTCAAAACAATATGTTATTTATTTGAAAGCAACGGCGATAAGCGCGACTAGCCCACTCTACAACTGGCAGAGGGGCGAGGTTCTTTAGAGAAGCTCAAGACTGATTTGGGAGAGAGGAGTCTGAAAGAAGTTGATTATTAAGAACACATTTATTTAATAACAAGTAACATTTAATCCTTTTAATTAGGTTAAATAAGGTTGACGCCGGTTGGTAGGCGCCTTAACAGTCCCGCGAAGGGGAGACATTCTTCTATCGCTGTGAGAGGCTTTAGTATTTGGCTGTTCGACTCGCGGAAATCCGCGAACTCTCGTCTCACACGGTATAATATTCGGCGTGCAAGCTCGATCACTCTCATTAAATATAGTTGGTACGATTAACTCGACTTTAACCTTTCTCTTTAACGGTTAGCCTACAATACGAGTTCTGTCTCAATATTATTCTCACGGTTCGGATAGTAAACGCTCGACAGAAGGCCGAGGCGAGAAATACGCGATAGGCTAACTTCAAGACTTTAACGCTCGGTACAGCAATACATAAATCGACGCGAAATTGTTACCCACAAAAAGACATTACTCCATATAAAAACGACTGTCGGCTCGGCAGCCCCGAGGGGAAAGAAGGCATGGCGAAAATCTTAATCTACAGAAGCGGTAGTCAGCGGGGCCCGGCCGAAAATCTAACCTCGCACGATACCGCG